CTGAAGCAAAGGAGCTGGGTTTTGAAGCATGGATATCCATGTTTAGGCAAGAGAGAGATTTGTAATTGAGAAATATTTCTTCGTTAATTTCTTCCCTACCTGATTAGCTCACCCATCTGGAGTTTAAAGATAAACTTTGGCAAAGAACTCAGCCAAACTTGTAGAACTCTTTCTCCTGTGGAGCAGCTTGTGGGCTCAAACTGCCAGCCTTGTTTAGTGCCTACAGAGTCAAAGCGCTCCCCAAATCTTACTATACGTGTAGTTAGAATCACATTTGGGAATAGGTGGGGTTTTTTGTCCTATTAATGAGGCCCACCACTCATCTGTCAGTTTGTCATACATACTGCAGTGGCTTGTGTGTTGCTATGATGCTGGACACTATGACATCGGTATTTTAAATACCAGCAGGGTCACCCATGGTGGACAGGTTTCAGCTGAGCTTACAGACTAAGACAGACTAGGAAAAAGGATAGACGATATACTTCTGAGTATTTAGCCACCCAACAGTTTACGAGTAGCAGTGGAACATCATCAGATAGCACCAGAATACTGACTGTTGAAACATGAAGAGCACCAGAATATCGTCAGATATAGTGCTAGAAGATGAACCCTTACATTTGAAGTCACTCAAAATATGAAGAGCTGCATCCTCAAAAGGATGCAGCAGTCAAGAAATCAAACGACATATTGCATTAGACAAATCTGCTGCACACGACCTCTTTAAAGTGTTCAAGAGCATAGAAGTCAGTTTGAGGTCTAAGGTTGCCTGACCTTCGCCATGGTATTTTTTCCCCCCAGTTTTCAAATAATTCATTTTAGTGCAAAAATTTTAAAGACCAAAATTAAAAACAAAACTCCATAAATATGAACAGCATATCAAAGTTTTAAATAAAGACAAATTTTGACCTTGCACTTGTATAACTCTGTCTTAGTACAAACCTGCTTTACACTAATCCCAAGCCCTTGCTCCACTCAACTTTTATTTACAAAAACAGGTGATGGTCTGCAGGCCATAGTTTGTTGATCTGATTTTCTAAAAATTATTTGAAAATATTTATCTTGAGAACTGAGTGTTTTGCTGTTGCTGTTATTAGGTGCTGTTAAGTCAGTTCTGACTCACAGTGACCCTATGCACAACAGAAGGAAACACTGCCAAGTCCTATGCCATCCCCATAATTGTTCCTGTGTTTGAGCCCATTGCTGGCAGCCTCTGTGTCATTGTTTTGTGTGTTTGTTTTTTTAGCCCCTTCAAATATTGAACCCTAGGCAAATGTTTTAAAAATTGAACTCCAGGCAAGTGCCCCACTGCTTCAGCACCCTTCCCCCTCCCCCTTGACATTGAGGATGTTCCAACATCTAGAGGGTGCTACTGGAATTTAGTAGCTGGATCAGTAGTGAGATGGTAAATATCCAACAATTCTTAGAAGTGCTGGCCAACATGCCTACAGTGTCCTCATTATTAGTCATGTGCATGCACACTGATACTTCTGAATGAATAGTTAGACTACATTGGTTTCATTGCTCACTCTTGCCAAAATAAAGTGTCAGGAGCCCATTGGCACCCTTGCAAGATTTCTGGTTTCCTGCCAAGTATTTCTGGAAGTGGAATCTGTCCTCATTTACACCTTCAGACTCTTGGTGCTGGGAGGACATGCATCTTGTTGGGTTTGTGTTTAGTGTATCCAAGCATGCAATTGGAGATGACAATGTTCTACAAATGTCACTGAAAGCCTCCTTTGGGCCACGTATGATTCACTACAGCGGGCAGGAGGTGGAAGTGAGTGGAGAGGGGTGGAGTGGTGGGGAACAGTAGCAGCCTAAGCAAGTGGGGTGATTTGGGAAGATGAATCTGGCAGTCCAGGAAGGGAATTGATCAGAGGGGTCCTCTCAAGAATCAACGCCAGGGTCATGTGGGCCTGAAGTTCCCCTGGGTCAGGAAGGGAAAAGATGCAGCAGTTTCTCCAAAGAAGATCTAGAAATGGTCAGTCCATGCACCTGAAGCACGCAGCTGCTCTGTCTCTCCAGGCCACCTCCTCTGCCACCATCTCTGTTGTCACCACTTTTCTAGGAAGGGATCTCATGCTTCACTCCTGCTCTTCCTTCTTGATGGTCCTATGATCATCTGTTCCTGAAATGAAAGATGAACTACTCCCCCCTTTTAGTTACATATCTTCTACAATTTCAGCTTTGACAATCACAATTAATCCTGTGACACCTTGATATTTTCAGTAGCTTCGTATACATGTGGAAGTTGGGCAATGAATAAGGACGACCCTAGAAGAATTAATGCATTTGAGTTATGGTGTTGGAGAAGAATATTGAAAGTACCTTGGACTGCCAGAAGAACAAATAGATCTGTGTTGGAAGAAATACAGACAGAATTCTCCTTGGAAGCCAGGATGGTAAGACTTTGTCTCTCATACTTCGAACATGTTGTCTGGAGAGACCATTCTCTGGAGAAGGACATCATGCTTGGTAAAGCGGAGAATCAGCAAAAAAGGTGAAGACCTGACGAGATGGACTGGCACAGTGGCAGCAGCAATGGGCTCACGTGTAACGATTGTGAGGATGGCAAAGGAACAGGCAGTGTTTCAGTTTGTTGTGCATGGGTCACCATGAGTTAGAACCAACTCAATGTCACCTAACAACAACAGCAACATTAATAAGGCAGTATTTCTGTAGGTTGTGCCTTAAATCAATCTCTTTGGAGATATGAAAGAGCATATTAAGGAAGCAACAGGGGGAAAATAAAAAAGTAGCGATGGGGAAGATAAAAGCCACATGATCCACAAGTAACTAAAAATAAAGCTGAAAAATGACAAGGCTCTTTCCCCAGAGCAGACAGAGATGAGAGAGCGAGAGAGCCTTTCCCTAGAACCAACACCCTGAATTCAGATTTCTAGCCTCTTAAACTGTGAGAAGAACTAACTCGATGACACTTAACCACAACAAACTATGAGAAACTAAATTTGTTTAAACTACCCTCTTGTAGTATTTCTGTACTGTTGTTGTTGTTGTTAAGTGCCATCCAGTCGGTTCCGACCCATAGCGACCCTGTACAGGGTTTCCGAGGGTGTAAATCTTTACGGGAGTAGAAAGCCTCATCTTTCTCCCGCGGAGCGGCTGGTAGTTTCGAACCGCTGACCTTAAGGTTCGCAGCCCGATTCGTAACCACTACGCTACCAGAGCTCCTATTTCTGTACTAGATATAGCTATATATATAGCTGTGAGTTGGAACCAACTCCATGGCACATAACAACAACAACAACAACTAGATTACTGAATATAATTGGGGAGGGGAGCAAAGATGTTTTAAATTGAGAAAGCAATATTTGTGAAGGCACAGAAGCCCAAAAGAGGAGGTGTTGGGTAGATGAAATCGGAGTAGTCATCAGCAGTCAGATGGAGAAGGTTCTTGATTATCAAACCAAAGAGCTTGGACTTCACTTTTTGGACACAAGATCACATAGTTAATAAAAGTCAAACCCACATCTTCAGACTTCCAAGCATGAGATCTTTCTGCATTACCTAGGTGGTCTCTGGCGTTAGAAGAGTCAGCAAATAGAAGAAAGGGAAAGGGGCACAACATGTGTAAAGAAAGACCCAGTGTTCCTGCTCTTCCTATTCCTTCTTCCTCTTCTTTCATAGGAGCCTTCAGCCTGTGATGGAGCCAATGGTTATTAGACAATCCCCTCTTCCCTGCTCTACTCCTAGAAAGTCATTGATCTCCTTTTCTGCTATCTGTCCTACAAAGATTTACAGTCTCAGAAATCCTACACAGGGTTGCTGTGAATTGGAATTGATTCACCAGTACTTAGCAATAACAACAGTATAGTACGACTTACAACTCATATTTGTTGGGGACATGATTCAATCCATAACACCAATCTAGAGAACTCCCATTTCTCCTTTAAGATAAAACTCTGGTGTCACCACCACTGACAGGCCATCCCTCACTGCTCAAGCCAGTAATAACTACTTTTGGGTCTCAAAACCCCTGAACTTCCTCTACCCTGGCATCAGGACCACAACAGTAGCAACTGACTGGTTGCAGTAATACATCGACAGTAAGGTACCAGATATTCAAAACATTCAGAAGAGGACCTAGAACTAGGGATATCATTGCTGATGTCAGACGGATCTTGGCTAATGTCTTTTTTGAGGAGGTTGTGGGTTAATGTGCTGGACTGCAAAGTCGGTTTGAATTGCTAGGTCGTGATTGTTAAGTGTCGTGAAGTCAGTTCCTACCCATAGCAACCCTGTATAGGGTTTCTGAAGAGCATCTGGTGAGCTTGAACCGACGACCTTGCAGTCCAGTGCATTAACTCACAGCGCTACACCTGGACTCCTTTTTTGGGAGATGTAAGGTAAACAAACAAACAAACAAAAATATATATGTTGTTGTTAAGTGCCATCGAGTCGGTTCCGACCCATAGTGACCCTGTATAGGGTTTCCAAGGAGCAGCTGGTGAACTTGAACCGACAACTTTGCAAGTTTGCAGTTCAATCGGCTTTGCAGTCTGGCGCATTAACCCACAGCACCACACCAGGACTCCATACATAGGAAACCCAGTACAGGGTAGCTATGGGTCGGAACCGACTGTACGGCACTTAACAACAACAACAGTCCACAGTGGACTCCCGATGTAGTGTTGTAGGATAAGCACGGGACTGGTAACCATAAGGTTGGTGGTTCAACCCCACCAGTCGCTCCTCAGAAACCCTATAGGGTTTTGCTATGAGTCGGAACACATTCTATGGCACTTAACAATAACAACAAGCAGGCCACAAGTTTATTGAAAGTTCAATACTCTCATTGTGCAGAAGGAGAAACAGGCTCTCAGCCTGGCGCTCCACTGCCTACTTATTCTATGGAGAGAAGTGGGCTAGTCCTTCCTCGTCTAGGGCCGCGCTGCACTGGGGCCGCCCCTTCCCGCCCCCCACGCCTGGTCCCTTGCCTCGCCTTCGGCCTCGCAACCCAGCCACCTCGGTAGCGAGTCATGGTGGCTGCCGTGGTGGCGGCGGCGTGGCTGCTCCTGTCGGCCGCGGCCGCTGTGCAGCGGGAGCAAGACTTCTATGACTTCAAGGCTGTCAACATCCGGGGCAAACTAGTGTCTCTGGAGAAGTACCGTGGCTCGGTGAGTGTCCGCCCGGGGGACCCTGGCGCCGTCTTGCCTGGTCTGATGGGGGCGTCCCGTGGTCCGCGACCCCGCCTGACTCCAAAGGGCCAGGACCGCCTGGCAACTTTGTACCGGCTCTCCACCCCCACGCAGGCATTCCCCCAGAGCGCAGCGCTCTCCCACACCCTTCTCCGATATGTCCTGTGACTACGTGGCACGGCCTGGAACGCAGTGAAACAGGAAACTTAGGCAGCCGGCGCCCAATTTCCCGCGAGGCAGCAGAGTCCGGACTTAGCCTTTGCCGCACATTCTTGAAAAAGATAACTAGCATCCTGCGGCCTTCACTTCCCCACCCCCTTTTCTCATCCTGTAACAATGGTTTGAATCCAGTGGGAACATTGTGACAGTGAATGTGCGGTGGGGTTACCATTTTAAATGCATGGAGACCTTACACAGATCATCCTTTAGAGAGAACACTACTGCCCAGAGAGGGGAAGATATTTGCATAAGGAAGATATTTGCATAATGTCACACTAGGCTAGAAAACAATAGAGCCTGGAGGTGAACTCTTTTTCCAGCGGTGGTCCATTCTAGGCAAACTCTTAGAGCCATCCAAGCCAAACGCTGCCGTGTGACAGAGCGGGATCCTAGAGAGGACTTCAGAGAGGCAGTGTGGCTGGGTTTAGTCTTTGAAACAAGAATGGATTTTAGCAAAACTAAGAGCATCCCAGGCAAAGAGGAATGGTCCATGCCTGGGCCAGAGGCAAACAGCAGGAGGGATGGGGAGGATTGCAGGCAGTTGTGCTTGAAAAAGCATAAGATCATGAAGGAACATTTAAAGGTTGAGGCAGAGTGGTGGAAGAGGAGGCTGGAGAAGGTGGGGAGGGATCATGAGGAGCCTGGAACACTGCTACATTTAGAGACCTAGATGTTATGTGTATTGAGATTCCCCCAAATCAGATCTTCAGGCTGGACCTTGGGACTGTGGTGTGGGAAAGATGAAGAGTTGTCTCTAATAGATCGCCCCAGCATCCAGACTTGGGTGAACCACACAAAAATGGCTAGTAGTAGTCTTCTCTGTCTTTAATGAAGAAAGAACTCTCAAAGTTTTGAAATTCTCAGTTAGACTAAGAGTAAGGGATCCTGGACAATAATCCCTGTCAAGACTGTTCCCCAGTCTTGAATTTTAAATGAAGAGAAGCTGGCAAAGCCTTCGGTGAACTGTAGAGTGCTCTGTACCTGTGCTTGGTGAGCCCCAGCAGGAACTTCATCCAGAACTCAGGGCAAAGAGCCAAGAAGGGCAGGGTCTGTTCTCATCCAGACCTTCTCTGTTCTCTGGTACAGCTCTCCTAAGAGTTCTGCAGCTCCCTGATTCATTATTAATTCACTATTGAGCACCTGTTGTTGTTAAGTGCTATCAAGTCGGTTCCGACTCATAGCAATCCTGTATAGGGTTTCTGAGGAGCGGCTGGTGAGTTTGAACTGCTGATGTTGTGATTCAAATTGACCTTGCACTAGAGTGCTTTTTCTACAACACCACATCAGGACTCTTACTATATAAAATACTGGGCCAGGTTCTGGGGATACATTGGTGAACAAAATAGATAGGTGTCTGCTTTAATCCTCTTATATGGGTGGGATGGGAAAAGGGAAGAGAGAGACAATGAATAATGGAGCAAAATGAGCAAGGTAATACCCAGTAGTTGTTAAGTGCCATCAAGTTGGTTCCAACGCATAGTGATCCCTATATAGGGTTTCCAAGGAACTTTTGGTGGGTTTGAACCGCCGACCTTGCAATTTAAATTGATCTTGTGGTCCAGTGCTTATCCTATAGTGCCATACCAGAACTCCAATACCCAGTAGTAGTAAGTGCTACAATGAAAATAGAGCCAGGACACACAGCTACTAAGATGCAGAGTTGCAATTTGAACCCAGGCAGTCTAACTCCAGAGTGCACACCCTTAATCCCTATGCTTATAGGCATACCAGTTAGTTTGGGGGAGCTGTAAATGGTGCTGTGGGTTGTCCCAGTGTAGAACTGAGGTTTGGACAGTATAATAATTTCATTCACATGCACATGTTGGTACTAGCTCCTACAACATGCCTGACACGGAATCCAGCCTTGGAGATGTAGCTGTGAGCAAAATGAAATTGACAAGCTAGTTGAGAGGAGTCATTTGTACCATGTTGAGTATGGATGAATGGGTGACCGCTTAGAAATGGGCTTGCCTGCAATGTGGGCTTATGCATATGCAGGAGGATGTTTGTGAATGTGTGTGTGAATGGTTTGTTCGTTTGTTTCTGTACATGGAAGGAATTTGAATCTGTGTCTGTGTTTGAATATATATGTGTGTGTGTGCTAGATATATCTGTATTTTGGTCTCTGTAAGTATAAGACTTTTGGCTCCAGGGATGGAACTAAAAGTAGAATTCCCTTCCCCTCCCCCCACCTCCAAAAGAATGAGCTTCTATGTAGACATTATAGACATAAAAGGATGTAGGTTAAAAATAAGCAATTTTTAATGCTCATTGCCCAAGTATCCAAGCAGGAACAGAGAAGGACACCTAATAATATAGGAATGGGAGTTCAGTGTCCCAGTTTCTGAACCATCCCAAACATATTATGGCATACGCTGACATGGAACAGAAGAGGTTCTATCAGCCTGTGGCCTCAGAGAAAGGACCCTTCTTCATCTTTTGGTGGCAGGGTGAGGAAGTTATAGCCCAGTGATTCTTATGATTTAGATCAGTACGTCTCAATTGGAGATGATTTTGCCTCCCAGGGGAAGTTAGGCAGTGTCTGAAGACATTTTTGTTGGTTACACTGGACATCTAGTAGGTAGAGGTCAGGGATTTCACTCAACTACCATTAAGTCAATTCCGATTCATTTTGTTGTTGTTGTTAAGTGCCATTGAGTCGGTTCTAACCCATAGCGACCCTGTATAGGGTTTGAGAAATGGCTGGTGAGCTTGAACCGCCGACCTTATGGTTCAAAACAACTTTGCAGTCTATGGCATTAATCCACAACATCACACCAGGACTCCTCCAACCCATAGCAATCCTGTAAATCTTTACAAGAGCAGAAAACCTTATCTTTGTCCCTTGGAGTGGCTAGTGGGCTTGAATTGCTGACTTCACAGTTAGCAACCAAAGGGTACACCCCACACGCCTGCCCTCCGACTGCCAGCCCACAGCCCCTCTCCCTCCCTGAATCCAGAGTCCCCAGGCGCTCCTTCTCTCCACTTCATCATCTCTGCTTCCATCCCTGGTGTCACTACCTCCCCGGACAGGGTCCCACACTTTGCTTTTCTCCCTCCCTTGATGGTTCCAGGGATTCCCGCTGCTCCTGGACTGCAATATCTGCCACTCTCCTCCTTTTGTTAGAAAACATTTACATTTACCTTTCCAACACTCACTGTCAGACCTGATAGCAATCATTCCCTATTGAACCACAGGAGTCCTATCCCCCACACCTTTAATCAACCCCATACAGACCAGTTGGAAACAACTCAGAACTAGGTTCCCTATTGAAAGCTTGTAAGCTAGCCACCTCTTGCCTTTGTAGTCCCCCCATTTTGGGTATCCAATGTCTAGGTTCCCCATCCTTGTCAGCCCTGTGTACCAAGGGGCTGGAAATGATCCTCACCGTAAAAATGTGTTCACTCCTTTGTCATACGGCATCCCAAGCATAGGTCAAGTTCATCCAATTGTAATGGGTTACTCTTTTTTTTTTCTCTCCTTTCTTCCTCTAGTCGTATTCTGATCATCTAGCCATTGATGCCAGGTCAAATGAGTACTGTCTACAAGTGTGGGTGTTCATGTACATCTTCCCTCACTTCATATCAGCTGAACGCTTCACACTCCGCTCTAGTCCCCTGGGGCCATGTCCCTGCCCCTGGGCCCAGGAGTCCCCAGGTCTCATCATACTGCTGATTAGCTAGGTCTCAATCCATGTTAACAGGAGTTTATTGAATGTGGTCGGACTTAGCTCACAACTTCATTGCTGTTTTGTCCCCACTTCCTCTTATCAGTGACCAACATGGTCAGCAGCAAGACCACATACCTACTCGTGTATTCCACTTGAGTTTCAGTGTTGGAAGGGGGTTTGCCTTGAGGGGACCTAACCACTTGCCTTGAAGGCTCCCAGGGGAACAACTTATAGTAGTCAATTGGACTGCTGTTACTGTTTTTGATTTTTCCTGCTGGTCTTTCTTTAAAGATGTATCTTCTGTTCTTCTAGCTGCTCCAGGCTGGTCTGCTTGTCCTTTCAAGTGGAATTTCCCCATCTCTGAAGATTCTGGATGGGGATCAGGATTCCACCTATGGTCTTGTGCAATGCAAAAGCTCTGCAGGGAGCCTCCTTCACTGGGCAAGTTCTAGCCCCATTTTAGGTATTCCAATCAGTTATGGTGTGGCGCTGTGGGTTAATGCGCCAGACTGCAAAGCTGTTTGAACTGCAAGGTCAGCAATTCAAACTCACAAGCTGCTCCTTGGAAACCCTATACAGGGTCACTATGGGTTGGAATCGACTTGAAGGCACTTAACAACAACAACAACAATCAGTTATAGGCTGAAGACGGACTTACAAACTGTCTACGGTGATGTTTCTGGCTATTCCTCTCTCTCCCACTTCAAGTGGCTATTTTACAATAGGAGGTAAGGGAAACCAAGATTCAAAAGACAGGCAAGCATCTTAACATCATTTCCCCACTTTTACCCATTCAAACCATGCCTCAATCTTTGTATCCCCAAGCCCTGTTGTTCCACGATTGTGCTTATATCATTATCTACCTCTGTCCTATTTAGCCCATGCAAACCTGCCTAGCTATTCTCCCATCTGCCTGGTTTTTCCTTTCCCCTTCCCCTTCTATGTGTGCTTACCCCCCTACCCGGACCCAAACTATCCTGAGTCTATTCCCTACACTGTGCTCCACTATCCTGTGTCTATTCCCTACCTTGTGCTCGACCTTCCTGTCCCTCTCCTCACCCCACCCCATACACCCCGGTAACCAAAAAAAAAACAATTTTTCCCCCTTTTAGTGTGGGTGCTTTTTCTTAATCTTTTATAATAATGGTCCTCATAGCTACCTTATACACAACAGAACAAAACACTGCCTGGTCCTGTGCCAACCTCACAATTGTTGTTACACTTGAGCCCATTGCTGCTGCCACTGTACCAGCCCATCCGTTGGGGGTCTCCCTATTTTACACTGACCCTCCACTTTACCAAGCATGATGTCCTTCTTCAAGGACTGGTCCCTCCTGATTATATGTCCAGAGTATGAGAGATGAAGTCTGAACATCTTGGCTTTTAAGGAGCATTCTGGATGTACCTCTTCTAAAACAGATTTGGGTGTTCTTTTGGCAGTCCATGATACTTTTAGTATTCTCCATTTTCATAACTCAAATGCATCAATTATTCGATGATTTTGTTTATTCATTGTTCAGCTTTCACATTCATATGAAAATATTGAAAATACTATGATTTGGGTAAGGCACACTTAAGTTCTCAAACTGACATCTTTGTTCTTGAACACTTTAAAGAGGTCTTGTGCAGCAGATTTACCTAATGAAATATGTCATTCAATTTCTTGACTGCTGCTTCTAAAAGTGTTAATGGTGGATCCAAGCAAAATGAAGCTTTTGACAATTTCATTGGTCATTTCTCCATTAATCATGATGCTATTTATTGGTCCAGTGGTAAGGATTTCTTTTTTTCTTTACATTGAGGTGCAACCCATACAGAAGGCTGTGGCCTTTGAACTTCATCAGTAAGTGTTTTAAGTCCTCTCTTTTTTCAGCAAGTAAGGTTGTATCATCTACATTTTGCAAGTTGTTAATGAATCTTCTTCCAGTCCTAATACCACATTCTTCTTCATGTAATCAATCAGTTTCTCAGATTATTTGCTTAGCATACAGACTGAATAAATATGGTGAAAGAATGCAACCCTGGTGCACACCTTTCCTAATTTTAAACCATTCAGTGTTCCCTTGTTCTGTTCAAATGACTGCCTCTT